CGGCAAGCCCTGCACCAACTCAGAAATAAAAACAGGGAGCAGAATTCAAAAGCTCTTCTCTCTACTACTGCAGGAGGGAACTGAGAATAATGGACCACGGCTGTGTGTATGGAGCCTGGAAAGTTTCATATCCCTGTGCCTGTTCGGTTCATCACTGCTCTTTCCCTGAAACCACACACAGATGAATGCTGGCTGGTCTCTAAGCTAAAATCCACTCTATCACCAGTCCTATGGGTTTTTACTCTGGTCCATTTCTCTAAATCTGCCCCAAACCTCCACTCCCACACCCACTGCCATGGGGTGAGTGTCATCATCCCTGGGATGCACTGTAACAGCACTTGATGCCGGGTCTTGCTCCTACCTGCATTCCTGCCCCTCCAAAAAATGTCCTCCTATTTATTCTTCATAACTTCAGAAATTACTAGAAAGCTACAGTAATTCACAGTACGGTGCTGATGAAGGATAAACAAATAGATCAATGGAATAGACCAGAGAGCTCAGAAATGGACCCCCATGTAATTTTCAACAAAGGATCACAGTAACTAAGTGGCTGGGCTAGGTGCACCGCACCCCCTCAAGCCTTCAACTCTCAGGGCTTACTTCCATCATCGTCTCTGGCACCAACTCCTAAAGGATCAGTTTTCCACTGCTAGGACTGTGTGAGATCCTCAGGAGGAAACAGCGAATCATATCTGACTGCATTCTCACTTCCCGGGACAAACTTTGGCACAAACATTTGGGTGAACCAAGGAATCTGCTTGGAAGAAAAAAAAAGGAAGAAAGAAGGAAGGAAGGAAGGATGGGAAGGGGGAAGGGAGGGAGGAAGGGAGAATCCTAAGGGGCAGAGAAGTGGTGGTGGCCCCAGAAGAAGAGGCCTGCTGGCAGAGATGGGAAAAAAATACCTAACAGAAAGAAGGAAGCCAGCTAGGGCACTACAAGGAGGCTTGGGGCTGACTTACAAGGTCCTCCAGGTTGCCAGGACCTCCAAGACCCTCCTTTTCCAGAATGCGGCTCCCAAAGCCCCCTGCTCCTTGGCTCCCGACGCGGTGGCTGATTTGGTCCCCTCCTCCCCCTACACCAACAAGGCCAGCAGCTGCCTCTTAAGTCCGGTCCCCACCCTTCCCATCCTGCCTCGTCCCAGACCCAACTGGGGCACAAACGTGCCAGATTCCAGAGTTCAAAAATTTGCTGCTCCATTTGTTACATGATTTAAAAGAAGAAAAATCTGTTGCCCAAGTTAAAATCCTTTTTCTATTAACATGTCAAGCATAATCTGTTTATAAGCATATAATGATATATTTTATGTTCCTTGAAAAAAAAGACGTAACTTCAAACCTACAATAGCTGTTTAATATGACAATTTGTTTCACCCCCAGATTACTTTTCTTTCTTTAAAAAAAAAAATGAATCAATGGGAATTCCCTGGCAGTCCAGTGGTTAGGACTCAGCGCTTTCACTACGGGGGCCCAGGTTCAATCCCTTGTCAGGGAACCAAGATCCTGCAAGCTGCACAGTGCAGCAATAAATAAATAAGTAATAATAATAAATTTTTTAACCAGTCAAAGTCTATCACATTTTCCAACCACAACTGTTTTCAAGGAGCAAGTAGATCTCAATGCACTAAGCTGCACAGCAGAGAGACTGGGGTCTCGGTGAAAGGGATAAACAGCAGTGCCCACAGCATCTACAGTGCACCATAACCCAGGTAGTGGGCAGGACCATGTCTCCTGCAGATGAAGCAGTGGGCTCCACGAGTTATGTGACTCCCTCAGGTCAGGAATCTGGTGAGTAGCTGATCTCTGGCCCCAGAGCACGTGTTCATTCCACCCTCCAGACTGTTCCAGCCCTTAAAGTTGACACCTGCCTTTGAGAAATGGCAAAGACAGTGAAAGTTTAACAGAATAAACAGCTGCTAAGAAAGAGAAAACAACTCTAGGCTAAATTCCTTCTACATAATTAAATCAGCCCCTCTTGCTGGGGAGGTTTTCAAAAGCAGCATGCATGAAACTATCTACAAAGGAAATGCAATTAAGGAGAGTCTTTTTAATATACCCAATTCTTGACTGCCCTTGCCCTAGGCAGAAACTTAATTCTACTGAAGGATAGCTGTCATTGAAAAGTTGTTATGTAAATTGTAAAGTAAGGGGAGAAAAGACACAGGAACCATTTTACAAGGTAAATGGGAAACCGGCTGAGAAGGGAGCAGTGCGGTAACAGATCTCCAGTTCACGGCAGTGACCATCGTGGCTGGCTTACCATCAAAAAGCTGGACCTTAGAGACCAAATGCGACTCCATCTTATCATTTATTTTACCGGCTCTCCTACGTTAACCCAACAGCCAAGCAAAACAGGAGACTCTTTTCAGGAATTGGCTGACCGCAAGTTAACAGCAACGTATTTTAAAACATGATTTTTGGTCACTGATTACACAGCTGAAAATTGAAGGAAACTACAAGTGCCAGGTTTTTTAAAAAAAAAAAAAATGTTAAGTAAACTCCAGGAGAGGAGAGGTGGGCAGTGCATGTCATGTATCATCAGCAGCAGCCCAGTGTCTTGGGAGAGGGAAGGCACCAAACAGAGAAGAGAGTGTAATAGGGAAGAACAAATCTGACTCCATACTGGATCTGGTTGTTTTCCTTTAAACTTTGTATTCTATTGCTTTTGCTACAAGTTAAGAATGTTGCCTAAAATATACAGGTTAGCCCATTCTCAAGGCTCTGACCTTTAAAGGTACAACACTTCTCCACTCACACAAAGATAAAAAGTCGCAACACACAGGATACCATTTGTCTTGGAGGTTTATAGGAACACTGTGACCAGACCTAGGTGCACAGCTGCAAGAACAACAGATTCCGGCACCAAGAAGTTCGCAGCAACCAACCAAACGCCCTCCACTTTTGGTATAAAAGAAGGCTGAATTCTAACTCAGGTAAGATGGTTCTTTGGGACACTAGTCCACCATCTTCTCGGTCTGCTGGCTTTCCAAATAAAGTCACTCTTCCTTGCCCAAAAAACTCACCTTTCGATTTATTGACCTGTCGTGCAGCGAACAGTATGAGCTTGGACTCATAACATCATCATTGTCAGAAAGAATGCCTGGCACAGTTCAGGGCTTCTGACCCAGAGCATCCGGCTCTGGGTCTGCTCCATCACTACACACACACACACACACACACACACTCACTTGCTGGAATCTGACACAACAATGGGATGAGGGCAGGACCAAGGGTCAAAGGACTCTTTACCATCCCTGCCTGGCATGTCGAGAGGAGTGTCATGCAAAGCTGTTGGCCTGAACTGAAGAAGCCAAGAAAAGTGCCCCCACGGTTTGGGCACCAAACACCCAGCAAACATAAGCTCTAGATAGATGTCTTCTGCAGCCCTCAGCATGCAGGACACTCAGTATAGCTGCTTTGGTATGAACCGGTAGGCTCAGAAGATGAAGCTGGAGGGACAGTTGTGGAGGGTAAGCCCTGTGACACTAAGCTTATATTTCCGAAGTCACTGGGCTCTGCCAGGGAACCAGGCTGGAAGGGGGCAGGAGGCGGTCAGATAGTTCATTCATTCTTCCATTCAATAAAGGCACCCTGGGCACCCACTCGGGGCCAGGCACTGATCCAGGGGTTGGAAGTACAAGCGAGGCAGGCACCCAGAAGTTTGGATTTCATCCCAAGTCAGAGGAAGTTGATTTTTAAAGCCTCAGCTCTGCCATTTCTAAACTGTATGAAGTTGACTTCTCTGAACTTTTGTTCCTCGTCAGTAAATGACACACAAATTAGAGGTGTCGGGGGAAACTGAGTAGCAAAAAGCATGAGGTTAGTGCCCCAGTGTGGGTGCTTACTGTTAATTACACAGGAAGGAGCCCCAAGGTCAACGTTAAAGGGCTTTGACCAGGTGTTCAGTGGAAGATCCATCGCAGTTCTGCATCCAGCCAGCAGAAAGGCTGCGTCGCCCAAGAAGCCAGGGACGGCTGCCTGGAGGAGGTGCCATGTCAGCTTAACTTTAAAGAGTGAGGAACAAGGGCCCACAGAGCTAGGCGGCAGGTAGACGCTAAATTACAATTTATCGGGCTTCCCTGGTGGCGCAGTTGTTAAGAATCCGCCTGCCAATGCAGGGAACAAGGGTTCGAGCCCTGGTCCGGGAAGATCCCACATGCCCCGGAGCAACTAAGCCCTTACGCCACAACTACTAGGCCTGCGCTCTGGAGCCTGCGAGCCAATACTACTGAAGCCCGCGCGCCTAGAGCCTGTGCTCCGCAACGAGAAGCCACCGCAATGAGAAGCCCGCGCACCGCAACGAAGTGGCCCCCGCTCACGGCAACTAGAGAAAGCCCGCGCACAGCAATGTAGACCCAACGCAGCCAAAATAAATAAATTTATAAATAAATAAATCACAATTTATCACAGGGTATTACTGGGTTACCAGCAGTAACCAGCTAATCCCTGGCGTTTATGGCTCCCTCTACAGGACACAAAGAAACTTTCCTTCAGCAGCTCGGTGGAACCCTTTCCCTTCAAAACATCCTGGCCGACTACATGGGTCTAAAGGAACTATCCATTTCACAGAGGAGGAAACTGAGGCCAGGCAACAAGGAGGCCGAGCCAAGGCCCACGCGGCCACAGAGTCAGCAGCATCGGATTCGAACCTCCCGCCCGCCAGGACGCCTGCGCTGGGTCGCTAGCGCGCGCCCCGACCCCGCCCGTTGCTCCGGAAACGGCCCCGCACGCGCGAGCGCACTGCTTTCCCTTGCTCGTTCTTCCGCTAGCACCCTCGTTACTTTTTTTTTAAAAATAAAAACCCAAGGCGGCGGGATACTCCCAGCGATTTAACGTGCCGTCGAAGGACGCCGCTACGTCCGCTCTCCGCCCTGGGCCGCGGATCCCTCCGCCGCCCAGCGGCCTGCGCGCTTCGGCCCGACTCAAAGCTCGAAACGGCTTCCCGCGCGCGGCGCCGCGCCCCACCCCCACCTCATCCCCACCCCAACCCCCAGCCCGGCTCACCTGCCGCCCGCGTCTCCATGGCAACGCCCCCACCGCGGAGGAAAAAAAAGCCTCGGGCTCTTCCGGGCCCCCTCCCGCGCCGACCGAGAAGGCGGGGCGCTCCGCTGATGCTTCGCTTTTTATTTTTATTTTTTTAAGAAAAGAGCCGGCGCGGTTATGGCGAATCTGCGGCATCCAACATGGCGGATGGAGTCTTCGCCCTCCTCTTCCCGGGGCGCTGACGACGGCGTCGCGGACGTCAGGCTCGGATGACCCTCCCCCAGCGGCGAGAGCGGCCGGGCTGGGCCGGGCTACTGCGCATGCTCGGCTCCGGCTGTTGTGCTTTGTGTCCCGCTCCACAGATTCCGTAGCTCCGGGTTTTGAGCCTCTCCTGGAAAGGGGCTAACGAGAGGCGTGGAACGCAGATTGGAGGATTGGGAGTCTTCACAGTGCTGCCAGAGCCAGCATCTACCTGCTGGCCCATCCTTGGACCCACCCCTGCACTCCACCGGGCTGTACGAGGTTAAGGCAGCGCTCCGGTCCCAGTTCCCAGCGATTTAACTTTTCTTGGCTTTAGTTTACTAATTTGTCAATCGGGGCGGTAACAGCCTGCCTCCCTCTCAAAGGTTGCAGTGTTTCCTGAAGTGGGATGCTTTCCGCTAGGAGTACCCGACTTGATTTAGTTTTCCAGGCTGAATTAAACAACTGGAACCGCCTCGACAGAATGACTGCCTTCTTTCTGTCCTCCTGTCTTGCAGAAAGTCTCAGTTGGGTGTGAGCACGCCTCCCTAACCCTTGCTCGTCTCCCTGAATCTGGTTCACAGTCTTCTTTCTGCAGGCAACAGTATCTGGTTGAGATGTAATGACCTCGTCTTCCTTTTGGTCTACCACTTCCTTCAGATCTCTGCTCAAATGATATCTCCTAGGGGGCCCTCCCAGACCACCCCATCCAAAGTAACCCTCCTAAGTCACTTTCTGTTTTCTCCCTAGTATCAATTACTGCCTGACATTAATTTATCTCCATCTCGTCTTTGTCGCCCCTTTAGTCCCAGAATCTAGAACAGCCTGACAGTAATTTATTGAATAAATTGAGTTCCTGTTGCCTGTATTTTTAAGGTTAGCTTTTGTTTTAACAATGTTTTTCATTTATGGTAGTAATGTATAAAGTTTTCTTTTTAAACCCAACTTATATTTTAAAAAATTGGTCAACTTAAAATGGTGCAGGACCTCCCTGGTGTTCCAGTGGTTAAGACTCAGTGCTTCCAGGACTTCCTTGGTGCGCAGTGGTTAAGAATCCGCTTGCCAATGCAGGGGACACGGGTTTAAGCCCTGGACCGAGAAGATCCCACATGCCGCGGAGCAACTAAGCCCGTGTGCCACAACTACTGAGCCCATGTGCCTAGAGCCCGTGCTCCACAACAAGAGAAGCTACCGCAATGAGAAGCCCACACACTGCAACGAAGAGTAGCTTCTGCTCGATGCAACTAGAGAAAGTCCACGCACAGTAACGAAGCCCCAATGCAACCAAAAATAAATAAATTTTTTTTAAAATACTATTAAAAAAAGTATTAAAAAAAAAAAAAAGACTTCATGCTTCCAATGCAGGGGGTGTGGGTTCGCTCCCTGGTCAGGGAACTAAGATCCCACATGTCGCGTAGCATGGCCAATAAATTAAAAAAAGAAAAAACTGGTGCATGTGGTACAGAGACAAGGCCCCCAAAAATGTAAAAGTGAACTTCAAGTGAGAAATTTGGGAAATACTGATTTATTTTTATGGTTCTCTTGAAGTGCTAATCTGCGCCTGTTGTCTTTTCCTGGAATAGCCGTCCCTCTATTGCTGCTTGACTTGAGAAATTGTCCTTCAGTTCATGCCTGTGTGTTCCCACACTCCAACTCCCACTTCTCTTTACCCTCCCCACACCCGTTGCGTTCATCTGTTTGCTCAGCCCCCTCCCCATGAGCTAGACCATGAACTTCATGAGCACAGATTTTTTTATCCTTGTTTCCCAGCTCCTACTGCACAGAAGTGTCACTCAGTGAGCACATTTGTTCCCATTGTCACTTGTTTTCCAGTTAGTAAAACTCCCATGAACACTGAGCTTTAGGATGATGCTCTGATTTCTCATGAATATTCTGCCTTGCTCCTTAATCCTGTTCTTGGGAAATAGAGTCATTATAAGACCCCAAATTTACCCAGTCCATTAAATATATGTTCAGGGATATCTCCTCCCCCAACCCCTTCGTTTCATCCTCACAACAACTGGAGGGCTAAATTGGACAGATCTGATTATCGTGCTTTCCTTGAAGAGAAAAGGAATGTTCAGAGAGGTTAGGTGGCTTTCTGAGATCACACAGCAAGCCAGTGAAATCCCAGCTGTGGAACTGGACTTTCCATGCCCAATATTCTCCCCACATGGCCATCTGGGATGGGCCCACAGTACCCACTACACCCCCAAAAGGGCCAATTTCAAGGCAATCATAGGGTTATTGCCCCCCACCACATCCTACATCTCAAGACATGTCGAGGTGGAGCCCATCACAGTCCTTCATTTGCGAATGAACTGCTCAAGAAGCTGCACTGATGAACTTTCCTTTTCAGAAGGATAAATATTTGCAATAACCACTATTTTGCTGTGAATCGATTTCTGTCAGGGAATTAGAGTTGTTCTGAGTTGCTGACAGTACTGGTTTTGTGCTGGGTTGCCTTTCTGGCAACAGCATTTAAATGTTAGTTATTGATTAGCAGACGGATTGCTCCCAGATGTTGTGACCAAAATGAATTTTGGAAATGAAGCAATTTAAAGTTTGTCTCAAAAACCCAATTGCCTCAGAATATTAATAAAGTCAAATTTAAAAAAAAAGAAATTGTGGATTATGAATGACAGTCCCGGGTTAATGATTTGGCCAGTTATGATTTTCTCCGTGATTCTCATGGCATTTTCTTCCTTCTCTATTCAAAGAAGAATCACTGAGCACCTATCATAACTGAAAACTGGCCTGGCCACAGGCATACAGAAATAACGAAGAGCCAGTCCCTTTCTATGGGACCAGACCTGCAAATGGAGAGAAGAGTCCACCCCTGGCTTTGCTGAGTGATTTGCACATTTTCAGTCAGCAAAAACCTTTATTCTTTCCATTTGCGTACTATCCCCAAATGCCTTCAATTAATGAAGGCGCATTAATGGAATTAAATATAAATTGCTCAAAATCGTATTATTAATGGCATCCTGCTTCAATGACAGTTCCTAGAGGAGATGAGCTTCCCAGCTGGCCCTCTGGTGTCCATCAGCCTCTCAAAGGCTAGCACGGGAGTGAATTTGTGCCAGAAATGTATCACCATGAAATGGCATTTGGTTATATAATAATAAATTAACATAATTGAATATATTTGTGTCAATAATTTTATAGTTATGTCTAATAGGTATATGACAAATGAGCATTTACAGGAAAAGAGAAAAATTTAGATATATAATTTTATAAGATGTTTTCTTGAAAGCAGGTTCTAATAAAGTATACATATGAGTGACCTCAAAATAATGGGCCTTGAGGCACATAGAAGTTGATAAAATCAGAGGTTAGGATAATCACAGTCTGAGTGAAGTGTTAAAATCTGAATAGGCACGTTATAGAGAAAACTCTATTTAAAACTGTATAAAAGAAGAGGTGGTAATAGTAGAATGATTTGAGCAATTTGAGAACATAATTATGACCTTAGGAAAAAACATCCTCTCTAGTTCTTCCTTTTCAGTGGCCATGGTGTGCCATCTCATCACCAGCATGCACATATTGTACCCTCAGCACACACACATTGATCTCAATAGCATTTTTCGTTAGCGGTACCCAGGGCTCCTTCAAAGGACCTGAGTCCACGTCTGGAAGCAGGGGAAAGTCAGAATGGCCTGAGACAACTTGCTCTTGCCAGAAAACCAGGCTGCTGTCAAAAGTGCTGGGCTATTGCTGAAAGGACAAAGGAGTTGACTGAAAAGGAAACGGGGTCCCTCTTGTCAGGTTGTGACAACTTGGATATAACAAAGAATAGCTGGGTCTACAGTTGTCGATTTACCAGAACAAGTTGAATCTGTGAAAAGCCATGAGTCCTTAATGATCAAAAAGGAAAAGTTAGGGACTTCCCTGGTGGCACAGTGGTTAAGAATCTGCCTGCCAGTGCAGGGGACATGGATTGGAGCCCTGGTCCGAGAAGATCCAACGTGCTGCAGAGCAACTAAGCCCGTGCACCACAACTACTGAGCCTGTGCTCTAGAGCCTGCGGCCCACAACTACTGAGCCCGTGTGCCACAACTACTGAAGCCCATGAGCCTAGAGCCGGTGCTCCACAACAAGAGAAGCCACCGCAATGAGAAGCCTGCACACCACAAAGAAGAGTAGCCCCCTGCATTGCAACCAGAGAAAGCCTGAGCGCAGCAACAAAGACCCAACGCAGCCAAAAATAAATAAATAAATTGATTTTTTTTTAAAAAGAAAAAGTTAATATGTGTAATGACAAAGCTAGTTATAACTCAAAGAAAGGATAAAAACAGTGTTTTAGTAAGTAGGTAAGTTTGGCATAATATGGGAATCTGTCCCTTACTTGAAGTTCGGTATATCTGTTTATGAAATGGTTTATCTATATAAGTTGAGAAGAGCAGATAAGTTTACTGTGAGTCAAATATTTCCAGAAAGAGTAGGAACTGTACCCAAACCAGGAAAGGCAGGTCAAACCAGTGGTCTCCTAAATAACCAAGTAGAAAGAGCGTTCATAATTGGTGTTGCAAGTTAATGGATTGGCCAGATGTCCTAGGAGAATGGCTGATAGATTAAACTGCTCTACGGCCCTGCTAATTATAATGAATGTTAATGAGGCATAATGAAGTTAATTGTAAACTGAGGCCAAACATCATGTACCCAAAATTCAACAGACATAGAAGTGAAGATTGGAAGAACTTGCTAAGTCCTGTTGCCTTAGCAGTTGAACCTGATCTGAGAGGAGGGCATCCCAACCAGCAAATGCCTGCTGCCATCTGATTCACCTTGAAGGATTCAGTGTTCCCACTAAGAATCCATCAATCATTGATCCAGAGGCTGTGATTTCCATACACCTGGGAAGGAGATAATCTTTCTCTTCTGGGTCTGATATCACAATCCTGGAAAAGTACAAAAATATGTTTTATATAGCTAACAAAGAAATTGGTCAAATCCATAGTTCTGATTTTTACAAATAAGCTTAAGT